AATAGTGAAATGGGCCTACTAATCACGGTACACATTATTGTTAATATTCAATAAGTATGTTGAAAATACGTTATAATTATCAAAAGAAGCATTCTGTCAGTAGATGATGCTACGAATTGTTCTCCAGCATACAGAGAATTACTGGTTTGATCCAATATAGGATTCCAACTGCCCTTTATTTATAAGTAATCTTGAACCTAGTAAAAGCAAATGCCAAGTTCCTTGTGATTTTCTAGATTATACTGATGTATTAAGTAGACGGTTTGCTGTTTTATCACCAATATTAATGCATGGTACATTAAATTCATGAAACCATCAGACAGATTTTCTGAATGTCATTTACTAAAATGTGCTGAAAATAGCTCAATTTTTGTACTGGATTTTGTGGAGATTGTTAAATATCAATGGGATCGTAAATCAGTCTCAGACAACTATAAAAAGCTGGGAGCAAGGACTGTTAAATCAAGGACAGCATTCCTACAATGAAGAACATATAAAACTCGGAACAATCGTCAAGTAATATCGAACTCACAATCTTGAATACGAATGTCAAAACAGTTCTACTGTACGGAGCTAAGACTTGGATATCAACTACACAACCATCATCAAAAACGTACAAGTATTTATAAACAATTGTCTACACATGATAGTCATCGTTCGTTGATCGGGTACCATTAGCAACAGCCTACTGTAGAAGAGAATCAACTAGCCTTCAACTGAAAAGGAAATTAGGAAAAGACGTTGGAGGTGGATAGGACATACATTGTGGCAATCATTAAATTACTTCACGAGTTAGGCGCTAACTTGGAATCTTGAAGGAAAGCGAAAAAGAGGAAGACTAAAGAACATACTGCATCGGGAATCGGAAGCAGACATCAATAGAATGATTAGTAACTCGATACAACTGGAAACGACTGCTTGGGACAGAGATGGATGGAGAATGCTGGTTGGCGCCTTATGTTCCTCCACGACTGGTAACAGGCATAAGTAAGTAACGGACCCTTAATCAGTGCACCAAACAAACCTAGCAAAGAGTGAATCAGTCGGTTTCATGTCTTACAATGAGCAGTTATCCTTTAGATCACCGGTCTCATTAGTAACTAATCTTGAGAGATAATCCCAATAGTTCTAGTGAAAAGCTATTATCACTGTGGAGTTCAAATTAAAAACACTTACCTATGAAATATAAAGCAAGATGGTTCTGGAATATTGAAAATTAACAGTAATCTAAAGGTTAAGTGTGAGTTCAGAGATCTTCAGGTCCTGATTTCAGTGTTCGGCAGAATCGTGGATACTCAGTGTTGAAAATCCCCACACCTAAATGAAACAACTATCTAATGTTTCCTAGTTTTCACTAGATGTCTAACTTAAGTTGATTTGTGACTTCAGTTTTATTTTAGCCACATAGCATTTGAACTTTTAATAAATTTAGAATAAATTAATCAGCTACTTAGAATATATTCCGATTTTCATTACTTTATTTGGCATTGATAAAAGTTTGTGTTGTGGGTACAAAGACCAATAGATAGACACATAAGAAATAGACAAAAGATGATGTATATTATTCAACTTTTCTAACAATAATAACTATGCTTTATAAGCAAAGATGGATAGTAGCTAGCAGTGGAATTCAGTTTGACGTGCGTTTCATCCTATTTGGGACTCGTCAGCTGGTTGTACGTGTATCTCAGAGTTGATGTTTACTCTGGGACTCCAATCCAGTACCCTTTGCTTCAAACGCCACCGCGTTATCCACTTAGCTACTGAGTCCTAATAGCCACCTTCTTGTGCAATGGGGTGAAATTATATTCACTTGTTGTTGTTTTACTTGTATCTTTTCATTGTTATATTAGACTGCAATTGATTAGTCTCTTTTTGGCATATGTGTATACTGTGCGTATTGCCTCGATATTGCCTGAAATCACAAGCTTTATGAGCAAAGATGGATAGTGGCTAGTAGTGAAATCCAGGACGCGCATTTCGTCCTATTCAGGACTCGTCAGCTGAATGTACTTGCATCTCAGAGTTGATGTTGACTCTGGAACTTTAACTCAGTACCGTTTATTATGATTTCTTACTGTATTGAATTTCTTTTTTTTTTTCAATCTGTTAACAATAATTTATACAAATTATGTTTGTCTGATTGTCAAATGATGAACAGGTTAAATCTGTCGTGACCATCATTCCTTTTTTTGTCTATGTCTATAATGATTTGAAACATTTAGGGTCCATAGAATTTCACAATCAAATAGACTAACAAGCAGTGTATGTATGTGTGGAATGTGTGGGTAGATATAGCTTACCAGTCAAATTTCTATTATACATATTCCACTAATAATGATTCCATCTTTGCTTATCATGCTAAGAATGATTCATTATTTAATAAAAATGAGTCATATTCAACATTTCTTTTTCTAAATATTATAACCACCAAAGCCTTAGTTACGTCATCGAGACTGCATGACTGATTTAATTACATTCACACATCTTTTTTTTTGTTGGATTGAAATATTACTTATGCACTAGTAGTGATAATCTAAAATTCTATTCTAGAATGACCTTGTAATTTCTATTTAAAAAAAAACAGTTTGTTCTCACCTTAAACCTACCCTGGTACTCTGGTAGCTTATTACCCGAAGTGATTAGGTTTCAAATTGTTTTCACATTATTATTATTATTATAATCCTTGTCTCCTCTTACCACCCCCCTCCCCTTCGTTTGTAGTCTGGTTGACCTTTTATTTTTATATATAAATGTTCATAACAAGTATATTACGTGTGATCAGATTGTTCAAAATGTATTGCGCTAATATCTCATCACATAGTCCAAAAAGCAAAGAGTTACACACATATTTTATTATTATTAGTAGTAGTATTAGTAGTAGTATAATTAGAGTTACAATGAACTTTTGAAGCCCGAGGGTATGGAAGAGAAACACACAAGGATTGAATTCATTTAGTATTGTTTGTTTGAATCTTCCCATCGATTTGTTAAGACTGCAACTAATCAGTCTCTAATTGGCATATGTACATATTGTGCGTATTGCCTCCACTGTTAGCCACTATCCATCTTTGCTTAACACATAAAGATTGGTTGAGTTCGTTATATAAATCTGTTGTGTGTTTGTTTTTTTTCATTTTAACAAACTAACAAGAAAATTGTTTTTACAACAATGTAATAATTCCCAAATGATTATTATTAAAAGAAATACTAATGAAGTTAGATACATGTCTGTTTCTTTCAAAGGTACGATTTCCTATTCTTCTTACGATTAACATTGTTAGTGACCGGAATAGCCTGTAAATTTTGGGGATTCGGTAATCAATAAGATTAACATTTGTGCTAAGTTATGTGATTACATTCACTATTAGTATAATATGATGGGAAACATTGTTTCATATTTAAGTAGTCTGTAAATTTATTTATTTAAACACATAAATATTGGTACAAGGAAGCACCAGATACATATGTGCCATACAAATCTCATTTGATTTGTATGAGGGCTATGATACTGCTCATGTGCCCAAACTGAAACAGATGGTTCTCGTAGGGGGCCACACCTGGAGCATTTGACCTAAAGATCTGGTCCACAAGGCAGTGGAACATTGAGAAGAGATGTAGTCCCATGGCAGCCGATGACCAACGATTGATTCATACGCCATTTGTCCCCTCAGGATAATGGAGCCCGTGTGCACCGTTAGTTTGGAATCAGGGTTTTCTAACTCCCCTTGATGGAATTTCCGTGTCCAACAACCCAGTTAAATCTGTGGACATTCTCTTTTCGTCCTCTCAATTTCGTAAACAACACCCGTGGTACGAAAAAGCAGTGAGTAGTACTTCCCTGACAGAGGCTATATACGCGTGGACATGTGAGAACATTCGGAGACAGACAGCGGAATCTCCCCACTCACGTCCGTACCAGGGCATTTGGGTTTTTTTAAGGACGTCGTCACCCAGTATTCCCAGTCGTTCACCCATGTAAGTACTGACCCAACATTGCTTAACTTCGGTGACTGGACGAGAATCGGTGCCTTCAACGTGGTATTGTTGTCTGTAAATATGAATGACAGATGAATATTATTAAGCGTGATGTTAAAATGAAAGGATTCATTCTGATTTCTTAACAACCATTAGTTACTAGAATCTGTATTTAACTATGAAATCCGCTGAATGGTTTTAAAAAGAAAGAAATTCAGGACTAGTTTATTTTTTACTAATTTCATTCAATCAGTTAACTGCGATGTCGGAGTCATTCAACCTTAGCTACATATTCGATTAACATAATGAAGCAAGTAGCACGATAGTGTTTACTGATCAATCACTGGATAGTGTAGACTGTATAATTTTACAAAGGAACGAGTCAGTTCACTTGTAACAGATAAGATAACTTAGTGTAATCTGATGGAAATGATGGGAATTGAAATGGACTAACTTCGTTCGATTTCTATTTTTGAGTAGAAGCACAACAAAAAGACTTAAACTGAGTGTGAAAGGAATAGTTAATGAAGTAGTTAAATGTAAATGGTGTTTAAATTTCAGATATTAGGTCTCATGTTCAAATTTTTCCTCATCTATTTCGGTTTGGAGAACTGGGTGATATCACTGGCACTAAGTAAGCAAATCCGTACAAGGTAATGAGTTGTTATTAGTAATAGGCAGTAATTTCCGTAAAAAAATGTAATCCGCTAGGTCGCAGCTTAGTGACCTAACTGTATTATTTTTTACCGATTCTTCACCTGACATTTGTATTGAACGTCTACAAATCTCGAATACCCATTTTTGAGAAAATTGAATTATTGTGGTTTGTTTGCTAACTCAACATTACAGGTGATTTGATGTATTTATCTTTCAATAGTGAAGAACCACATACTTATTCATATCATCCTTTACTAAAAACAGGTTAAAGGGGTCGTTATTCCTAGTTAGATTTACATGACTATGGAGAGTTATTCTTTTGAATTACTATGATCTCTTCTATCTTTGTTTGTTTTTCTTGTTAGATTATTTTCCAGTGGTAGCAACGATCAGAGGATACATATATACACGTGTAAACGCCCGTCAACTTATTTCATCTTTATTGGGTCATTTTTGAAAGCCAAGTTGACAGTAAGCTTAATTTTATTAAGAGATTTTTAAGTTCGGTTTTTTTTTCTATATAAAAACCATTTGATATGTCCAGTCTAAAAGTCCTATTAATTAAAGATAAGAACAAACAATGATTGATGCGGAATCATCATAATATTGAGACGTAGTCAAAAGCTATGCTTTCTCTGATTAAATTGATCTCTGAGAATTAATCACCATAGTACCATAAATTTTTCTACTTTGAATGTAGATTATTTAAGTTCAGTCAGAAATACTAATTAATGAATGTTGAACTATTTAACTGAGAGGTAATATGTGTTGAGTTCTTAGCAGTAATGGATATCATTAGATCATTGAATTGTATTCTCTATCCTCATACCTGATAAGTCCTTGTGTTTGAGTGGTAGATGACGATTTTCAAGGGAATTGGAATACTAATTGCTTTTCAAATAGGCGATATGTCTAGATTTATTAGGAAATCTTTTTCATCATAAAAAGAAATTGTCTGGAGAACCTATTGAAAAGTGAGGAATAATTGACATATGTTACATTCTGTTATTATTGAAGATTCCTTAGAACCAATTCAATGACTTAAGTCTTACAGTAAGCATTGTATACTTAAACTGCAGTTTCCAGCATTAGTAGATGTAGTATGGTCATCGTCCGATTCTAAAAGTGAGTAGATGCCTCATACGTATCGTGATTAACTTTAAAGTGTGCACCCTCGGATAAGTGACATTTGTTAAACTTCATTGATATTACTATTCTGTCATTCATACTACTGAATTTTTAATTTGTCAATAAAAATCATTTACTCGTTTCTACCCAACCAACATTTATAACATTAGTCTCATAGACGGATTATTATTACTATTTGTTTTGAAGAATAAAGCCAACAAAAAAGTATCTGAAACATACAAATTTACCGACAACTACACTTACACAATGTTAAGCAGTATATTTTACTTACCCTAAATTCTATTCCTTCTCTACTTCATGTTATTAGTTTACACTATAACAAAAAACAATGGTCACTATTACTGTTCATATAGTGATCGATTCAAGCACTGGTTATTTTGAATAAGTGAAGAGACAATTAAGTGTTTTTAGTACTGTAACAGTACATATAGGATTTACTGATGATCACCATCGGTATTCACAATTGATTCGCCACCAACGTAGATTATTAATTCGTCCATTAGTATTTTCTTCATAGGCGACTGTCTATAAATATGGAAGTCTTGGGTCTGATGTTTTTCATTATATTTTATGTCCATTCATAAGTAGCCTCATACTAGGAGGAAAGACCTATTCAGTGTTTCCTAATTTTCATTGGTATATCATCAATAAATGTTCTATAACTGTTCAGATAAATTGAACCGGTTAATTTGTAAGGTCATTTAGTTATATGAAGTTTTAATTGATCAAGTAAAAAGAAATAACTAAGAAACCAGGGAGAATTGAGATCAGTGTTAAAATTCCCTTGAAAAATTGTCACCTCCCATTTAAAACAAACTGAATTGAGAATATAGTTTTGAGAATATAGTTCAATGACCAAATGATATGCGTTTGTGGTAGACGGGAAATACATATCAGTTTTCAATGAAATTATTCAAGATATTTTAGCTAGTCTTTAAATAAACTAAACCTCTATCTCAAATCAACGACGACTTCCTCACTTTAATAGCTCCCAAATTCCCTGGTACGGACGAGAGTGGGGAGATTCTGCTCTCCCTCTCCAAATGCTCTCACATGGCCATGTGTATATAGCCTCTGCCAAGGAAGTCCTACTAACTGACTTCTCGTGGCATTACTGTTGCTTACGAAATTGAGAGGACGAAAAGAGAATGTCCACAGATTTAACTGGGTTGGTGGACACCGAAAGTCCATCTAGGGGAGTCGGAAAACCCTGATTCCAAACCATTGGTGCACACGGGCTCCATTATCCTGAGGGGACAAATGACGTATGAAACAATCGTCGGTCACCAGCTATCATGGGGCTGCATCTCCTAACGATGCTCCACTGCCTTGTGGATCAGACCTTTAGGTCAAAGGCTCAGAGAGTGGCCTTCCATGAAAACCATCTGCTTCAGTCTTGGAACCCGGATAGTATCTCAGCTCTCACACAAATCAAATGAGATTTGTGCGGCGCACATGTATCTGGTGCTTCCTTGTACCAATATTTATGTGTTTAAATAAATAAATAAATGAATCCCTTTAATACTAAAAAGAAATGGGTTAAAACCTGATTGAGTACGTTAAGTTTTTGATAGATTACAAGTACATTATTTTGATAGATTCTGAGGCAGCTAAACAATGATCAACCATATTCTGACAAATACCTTCGAGACACTTTACGAAAACATTCTATTTATTCGCTAATGAATTTGTCCTTTGCTCTATATAACAATAATATAAATCAGGGTTTATTTGAAATTAAAAGTGAAACATTTATTCGACAAAAACCGCAAACGTATCCTATTTTGAATTGAAGTGGTTTTTGTTCCACCATCTCACCTAACAAAACGTATCCATGTTTCATTGAGAAGTAATCACCTTCAAGTGATTGTAATCTGCTTTATTTCTCTTGCCAACTCTTCAAATCTCAAAGTTTTCGCTTGTTTTTTGTCTACTTAATTGAAATTTAAGTAGTACTTTTTCGAAACATGATAATAAATTAAACATGGGTGGGGATATTTTCTGTCTGAGTTTAATTGCTAGTTTTGTTTTTACGTATTTATTCACCCAATGTCATAGAAGGATAGAGGACAGAACGCTTAGAGTGGGGAAAAGGAAAAATGGTAGCATAAGTTGTTTTTCCTTCTTTAGCTTGCAACATTTACCTCTCTTCATTCGAATTGTGTATACATCAATCGATTTGTGAACACTGTGAAATCTATATGATTTACCATATGTTATCAGAAGTCGATAATTCTCATTATCTTGACACGATATGACACATCAACACTAATCGATGAAATCAGTAATCATAACAGTTGAATTAGGATGAATTGAGTTGGGTAGAGTTAAAATAAGAATAGCAAAAGACATTCTATGTTGAGAAAGGAGATAGTAGAATCAAGATACTAGAAATTGTTTAATCAAATTAATAAATCAGTATATATGAAAGAAGCAAAACTTGATAGATTTGTCTTCAAGACACTTGGCTTATTGCAAATCAGTGTGATATGACTGAATTTTTCAGTTTAATAAACTTCCATGACTTTATATAGTTAATATCATGAGTCAGTTGAAGCTAGACCACCATGGAAAACCTGGAAGCACTGGACGGCCGTTTCGTCTTATTGTAGGACTCCTCAGCAGTGCGCATCCACGATCCTGCCTCGCGGGATGACTTTAGTTTGTATTACACGCTTTATAAAGCACTAAAGTATACATCTTTATTGTTAAATTTAAAACCTCATTACACCATGAAACTAAGTGGTAATACTTTCAAATGTTACGAAGACACTGAACGTTTATGTTATTGAGAAATACTAGCCACTTTTCTATGACTTTGTAACTCAATTGCAATACGTGTGTTAGCGGAAACTGTAACACTTTCGATTGAGTTACACTTGTCTAAGACAAACGAAGTCAAATAGTGGTATAGTTTAACGTTTAGAGCACTTAACTTTTACTTCCTATTACTCAACTTAGATCATAAATGGACTTGAACTGTACAACTAGTGAAAACCAGGTTACATTTAGACCACTAAGTTAACATCCGATTTTCCACGTTTCAAACTTCAATTGATTCCCTATACTTATTTCAATTCAGAAAGTCAGAAAATTTTTAATTCATATACGATAATCGTCCGTTAAACGAAAAGAAATATTTTGTTGGTAATCTGAAATAACATTGAAGGCTTCCCATAATAGATAGCTAAGTTATTCAATTCTGCTTTGTAGTATACAATTAGTGTATTTAAAAGATCAAATATCCTAGGTATAAATAACATAATAATAATCTCTTACAGAACCTTTTAGAACTACAAGCCTACCCACAACCTTATAAATAACCACTTGATTCATGTGTGTAAACCGATCATGATTGTAAAGCTTCTGATCTTCATTTAGAGTTCATTTGGGAAAGTTTTTTAGGTTTCTAAAAAAAAACAACAGGAAATCTATTATCTTAAGAGGTCAGAGTACCAGAATGATCAGAAACCAATAAGAATGTCATTGGTTAACAAAGAATATTATGTTGATTGATACTATCGATATGAACTTCATTGTCAGTTCAAGTATTCACTGAACAATATCTGAAATAAACGTTATGAATATATTTCGATATTAAAAATTAATTATATGAAATTAGAAGAAGGTGGTTCTGTGGAGAATTTAGTTATTTTTATGTAGATGAAATCATGAGTCAATTGAAGCTTACAATATGCATAATAATCCAAGTGACTAAACGTCGAGTGCATTATATTGAGATTTTACGTGAATGTAGATAGTCGATAGGAAAGGCTTTTTGATGTAGGTCTTGGATTGGCTAACATGGATTTAATATCCTACGGAGAGCATCGTTTCCTTCAAGTTTACAGGTTAGTCTTGCTGACGAGCATAGAATCTAAAACGAAAATCTTTTCCTACTCACTATCTCTGACCACTTAACATTGTAGTTCAATATAGCTGGCTGGTCGTAATCGGTTAGTTACTCATATTTTGACTAGTTAATCAACTGGCAGTCCTTTCCTTATTGATCCTCTGCCGAAATACATTCTATGTCTAACCATCACCATATACTACTTATATGGATATAAGTAGACCACATCACACTAGTAAATGAAATAATATATTAGAAAATTTTGAAATATTTCACACCATTATAATTTGCTTTAATATAAACCTTTTATCATAACTATTCCAACCATATGTGACAAACTAAATAGCATCGTCAATGCTTAATTTGTATAGGGAGATTTGTACAGATTGTAGAATCTTCCATATTTTGAATCATGAACTGAAAACCTGCTAGCACTTGATAGCCATTTATTTCTCCTATGGAACTCCTC